GCAGTATGTGGTTTTGTGAGTGTGTGTGTGTATGTATAAAACTATGCATTGTGAATGACCAAATATGCTTCATTTCCCCCTCATAACTTATAGACTAATTCTATACAGTACTATCATAGACTTCCATTATTTTCTTCATAAGGATATTATGTAAAAATACATAGAGGGGAAAACGTTTCTAACATTTTGAAAAATAACACCCAGTTCTTTTGTGTGTGTGTGTGTGTGTGTGTGTGTGTGCTTTAACTTCAAAATGCTTGTTGGTTTAGCTTAGCTCTCTTATTGTGTTTGTGTTCTGCTAGTGATTGTGGCAGCCTGGTATTTCTGTTTCCATTTTTGCCAGGTTATTTGAGCATGTATGAGGGGCTTGCAAAGCCATTAAGGATAATCTGAGTGACTACCGTCAGGCAATGCCCCATGTTGTGTTTTCACCATTTACTTTCCTTCTGGCCTTCTACAACCTCCTGCACTTCCCCAATCAGTTCTACATAGTCCCACAACCTTCTAGAATAGATTTAGAGAGACTCCATTCTGCTATAAAAAATTGTTTTTTCTGGTAGAGGGCTACCACCATTTTTTCCCTCAAATTCTGATGAATATTTACATGATACTATTTTCCAGTTCTCAGTCTCCAAGAAGCCTCTGTGGCAATTGCCTTACAGAATGGACGCCTATCAAGGAACTTGGTAGATACGTGTTATTTTAGCGGCCAAGAAAATACAATCTTAGCAGAATAAGAGATCAAATTTGTGCCTCTGATTCCTCCTCCTCATCTGGCTACTCTGCCAGGTGGCCATTCTTAGAAACAATCATAATGAAAGAGATGTTTTCAGTGACATATATTGTTTATTTATATAACTGATGGAAAAAAATGTTTTCTTAATCAGGAATGTGATTCATTCATTATCACCATGACCCCAAAATAGTACAAGAATTTCAGTGGATCAATATATATGTTCATATAATATTGTTTTTACTTGTGAACCAAAGAACATTCTTTTTCTGGGATTTATTTATTTAATTCAACACTCAATCACCCTTTGTTCAAAAAGGTGCTGAGTTTCTTTTCTTTTTTATGCTCCAAATGATATTGCAAAATGGTTTAGTTTAAGAGCATCTATGCTTGATCCAAGGTCATGGTTGTGTAGTGATTGTATCTCTTAGCATTGGCAATCCCAGGATGATGGAGTGCAGAATGGCCAAAAGGGCAGAGATGAGGAGCGGGATATCAATGGGTGGGATGTGTAGAAATGAATGAAGGCAAATGTCATGGTTCCGATAGATGAGGCTAATAGAAATAAGAACTCTGAGGCATTTGCTTTCCTCAAAGAACACATTTAATGGCTACATAGTATCAGCACGAACAAAGGTGAAACCAAGTCTGAAAGTTTCCTCCCCCAAGATTACAGTGTAATAAGTTGAACTTCCCACCCCTGTAATATGTCATAAATCACAATCCCCAATTAACTACTTTGGCAGGCTTTTTAACAGAAACTCCAGCCCCTCAAAACTCATGTAGCTTGACTTTGGTTCCCACAGGAAAGTTATTGTTATGGCTAAACTAGAAGAATATATCTCCCCCCTCTCATTGCTGTGGAAACCGAAAACAAAGTGAAGATGGCTACAGACAGAATTGTATGAAAGTTGATAGCAAATATACGTATCCCAGGATAATGATGCAAGACCATTATTTCAAGAGAGTTGAAATTCCCTTGCAGTGACCGTGGTGCACTGCAATAGCCATAGCTTCAGGGACTGAGCTTAACTATTTTTTGTTCAGCGCCACTGTAATGTCAAACAGCTGCCAAACAAATGGCCATTATCCCAGGACTACCTGCATTCAAATGAAGTTCCATCACTATCTGGGAAACTGTAGTGGAGAGGCCATTTTTGGTACTTGTCCCTGGAACTGGAATTTATTACACCAGGGAATGCATCTTAAATGTTTGTTGTTGGATTTTAAATAATAATACAAGATGCTTCCATCCAAATGAGTATTTGACTTGAGTAGCAACCAATTAACCTAAGCAATATTTGTCTTATTGCTGTTCATGTTTGTTCTTTAATGCTTCTTTTTTATGGATTATGCCAGTGATGGCGAACCTTTTACAGACCGAGTGCCCCAAAACTGGCCCCACCCCTGCTCCATCCCCTGCCCCGCTCCTGCTCTGCCCTCACCCCATCCCCCACCCCACCTGCCCACAGGGCCACTCACTGCCTCCAGGGCTCACCACAGATTGCCCAGGCAGCCCAGCAGCACCATGGTGGCCATGCCCTCTGCCCGCGCCCTGCAGCATCAACTGTGCGTGATGGGGCATGAGGGCAGAGTCTTGTCTACACTGCCTGGCTCCCATGTCCTTGGCTGCACTGCTCCATGTGGGCCACGCTCGGGGGCGACTCTCCTCCAGGGGGGCTGCTGGTGAGGAGGGGGTTGTGGGGGGAGGTGAGGCTGGGGCAATGGCACATGTGCCCACAGAGAGGGCTCTGAGTGCCGCCTCTGGCACGCTTGCCATAGGTTCACCACCACTGGATTATGCCATCAATTTGCTTTGATTAACTAGTTCTTATTAATAGTTATTCATTGTACTAATTTGTTTGCACTGTAAGAGGTATTGGAACTGACTTGAGAATCCAAAATGGACATCAAGGGTAAAAATAGTCTAATAATAAATAATGCCAAATGGTGCTTCCTAAGAACTGGAAGTACTAACTCTTCCACTGTTGGCTGCAGGTAGAATTACAATTTGGGCATGCATTTCACTGTATCAAAGGGTAACAATCTTGGAACCAAGATACTTCAAATGGGCTAAAATAACAGAATGTGTGCAAAATCCAGGACTTGTGACTCCTGAGAGAATGAAATTGGAAAAGATGTGACTGCTTCAGTGCTATTGGCTGCCACTATGTTGCATGTGATCCTGTGATCTTTATTTTCAACATTCCATAACAGTTTCCCAGCCAGTCTCACAATCCCTCACTCCTTACCGCCACACTGAAGCAGTCACTTACCTGCCTGTTGGAAAGGGAAGGAAAGGGAAGGAGGGAGGGAGGGAGGGAGGAAGGAGGGAAGGAAGGAAAGAAGGAAAGAAGGAAAGAAGGAAGAGGAAGGACCCTCCACACATACTTCCTGGACCATGTCACTCCTCTGTACACTCCCCTGACCTCTCCTGCCCTATCGCATGCCTTCCCAGACCCACCCTTCATTCCCATATGCTCTCCTTGAACAATGCCACACACCTCCTCGCACCTTTTCTGATCTGCATGGCACCTCTTTTGTACGTCTATTCACCATCCCCAAACTGCGTCCCTTCCACACTTTTCTCAACCCATATGGAATCTCTTGGTCACCCCCACATACCATTTCCAATTTACACCCTCCATGTGCTATTGCTTATCTGCACAGCATTTCTTATACAATCCAAAGCACCACCAGACACCCTTCCTACACATACCATTCATGTTCTTCCCACCCACAAAGCATGTCTGATGCACACCCTCATACCCTTCCTAGCCCACGCTGCACTTCTCATGAATCCCCATGTACCATTCCTGACCCTTACCCCTTTACTCCCTCCTGCACCCAGCAGCATCCATTGGCCTTGGACTTGCAACTTCCATCTGGCTTCCCCACTTACTTTTTCCCTGCAAGTAAATGGAAAGATGGCAAGAATTCAAGAGAGGGAGGGAGGGAGGGAGGGAGGGAGGGAGGGAGGGAAGGAAGGAAGGAAGGAAGGAAGGAAGGAAGGAAGGAAGGAAGGAAGGAGATTTCTGATGCTCCCTGTCAGCTTCCCACAAGGAATTTCAACAGGACTTGGAATCTTTTGCTCTGCCTCACCTATTAGTGAAACTGTTTTGGGTAAAGATAGTTTTATTGTAATACATGGTAACTACTGTATAAACCATTCAGTTTGAGCATAAATTCTGATAAAAAAATGCTATAATGGTCAAAGGAAATTAGGCTATAACAGAGTGTTATAGTTGAGTGGGCCACACCACTCTTTGGAGTATTCTCCCATACTGTGGTGTGCTTCTGATATCCCTAATATGTTTCTTCATCCAGATCTTTAGGGTTAACACGTGTTTGCTTATACTACTCTTGATATTCCTTTCTATTTTGGGGGTGTGATCAGATAAATAAACAGAACACACATACATAAAATATATGTTTTCCCACTCATTGGGTAAATACGAGTTTTACACAACAGGCCTTTTCTCTTCCTTGAAGCCCAAACTAGTTGATATAAATGGAAGGCTTTGTTCTGAAGTACATCATTGTTAGGGACACTGATCATTCAGATTGTTTATTGTTTTAAAACTATTGATGTTTTCATTACTGGCAAAGGAGTTAACAAACAGATCAAGGTTCAGTGAATTCTCAGTAATGATTCAGTAAGATCTGAAAAGGTCTCTTTCAAGCTGAAAAAATGAGCTGCCTATTAAGCTACAAAACTTCAGCAAATAAAATCCAATCATTAACTCGGGTGAATTGCAGCCTTTCTCTTTGTTATAAGGAGAGCATGAAAAAAGCAGCCTCTCTAGGAAATCATAAAGGGAGTTAAATCCTCCCTCCATTTAATAAAGCTGGAGGGCAAGGCGTACTGTTTGCCATGGGTTTGTCACAAGCTATAGAGTTACAGCCAGACCCTCCCTGGCAGAAGGCTGCCTGTTGACTCTGATTTTTCTGAAGCTCCCCAAAAGACACTTTTTACTTCAAAAAGGGCAGGGGAGGGGGAAAAATGCCTCCGATTGTGTATTTCTTTCAGTCCTCTGGAGGAGTCTGACTAGTGACGTGAAAGGGACGTGAAAGTGGAGATGATCAGGGGAGAAATTGTTTTAAATACACTCTGAGAGGTCAGCTGAAGTCAGACTGTCAAACTTCATAGAAATGGTTGGAGGACTTTGCTACAATTTTCAAAGGCAAGAGAAAAATTCTGTTGCTTGAATGATGGACCCTACAATCAAATGTGCTTCATCCCAAATCTACTTGTGTTCCAAAACAGAGGAGAAGAAACAGAAGCCTACTTTTTAACCCAGATCTTGCTATTCCAGTGAATGAAACTCAAAGGAGAACATCAAAGAAGTATGAAGCCTGCAGGGACCAGCACAGAGATTTCCTTATTGAGCAATATCCTATCAGCATATTCCTTCATCACAGGTATTCTTCTTACCACTTATGATATATCTGTTGAATGTTTTCCTGAAGGGAAATAGTCCTCTCTATTTTTCATCTCATGCCTCTTAGTTATATTTCTGGAGAAAACTAAACAAAAGGAAATATGCTACTACATATTTATTATTGTATGGCATTTCTAATGATTTGCTTGTAGATATAAAACTATAGGAATCGTGATCCAAGTGGTACACAAGAAGTACATCAAAAGGAGGAAAGCAATGTGGCATAGTTAGGCAATTTTGTCTTCAATCCCTGATCAAAATTACAATATGGCAAGAAAATGTCAGGATAAAATTTGGTATTTGTGAAGTATTTTCAACGATTTTGTCAAATACATCTCCAGATATTCTTGTTTAACCCATAATTGAGGCAGCAGGTTAAAGCTAAAAGGCGATATCTTGTTTTTGGATACCTGAAAGTCAGGCCTCAGTGAAATTTAAATTAAATTTCTCAATACATCCTTTGCTATCCAAATTATGCATCTGTTGTATCATTAGTGTTTGGAATAGTACAATTTTATTTAAAGCTTTGTTATGGTCCTATCAGACTGTTAGATTTGGTGTTATCACTATAGATTTAGCTCCTCACAACTTTAGTATTTATCATTATTCTTTTCAAAGGGTTATATAGACAACATAAACTTTCTATTGTGTAATTTGAGGAGTTGATGGCTACATGTATTTTCTCTTCCAGTTAAATTAGTTTTACTTCAGTAGATGTTCTTTTTTTTTTAACAATTCCTAGGGTCACTGATTTTTGTTATGTTTTAACAAAGCAGACAAGAAATCTTTCCATTCTCTTTCCAGGGTCTTTATTTTGAAAGCCTCCCCCAGTGAGGAAATGAAATGATTTTTTTCTGTGTGCCTTCTGATTCTTTGATTCTACCCTTAAGGAGAAAATAAAGTCAATTTTTGGTCCTTTAGAATAATGGTTAGTAACGGTGGTGGTAGTAGTAATAATAATAATTTTTAAAGCCCTTTTAAAAATTATGCTTATCTAAAAATATTTGAGTGAAAAAGAACAACTGTTATAATTTAGAATTAGCTGATTGTCAGCTGAAAAAGGAACTTTAACTTATATTAAGATATTTCAATCATATTTTAGTAAAAGTTGTCTTTTTTGTGCCTTTGAGTCAGTGTTGACTTTTGGTGACTACCTTGATAAGTCCCTGAGGTGTTCTTGGCAATATTTTTGGAAGTGGTTTGCTCTTGCTTTTAACACAGTGGTTCATTTTTATAGAAGATGTGAGCTCTGTATTCATAGAAATCACTATATTTCAATCTTGCAATATTCTTTAACTGGGAAGATTGGAAAGCAATTGGTATATAGTGGATCTAAGCACATGCTTGTGCAAATAATTGCCTGGATTGTATTATGTGCAGCAGTACAATAAACATAAACTATGTCTAGAAATTATTTGTGACAATAAAGTAAGACAGGCATATGAGTGAAGATTTAAACCTAGTATTTTACTGATGAATGAACAGCAACAGATCAGTTATAGTAGGTGTCTCAATGGAAGTTATAGAGAGGGGATAACAGGGTGACTTAAGAACTAAAACAACATTCTAGAATGACAAATTATTCATGTCCCCTTTTTGTGCATATGACAATAATTCCCCCATGAACTAATATATGCTGCATATTTATCTCATTTTAAAATAGTTGGCTTGCTTGCCTTGGGCTGAATTCAAGGTGCTGGTCTTGATGTAAAAGATTCTACACAATTTGGGCCCAGTATATATGAAATAAGATCTTGACATGTGCTGCCTTACATCTACAGGCTGGAGAAACTTATTTCATATCACCATTAGTTGACATAAAATTCAGGTTGACAGGAGATGGTGACCTTCAAATGTAAAGGGCTTGATGCCAGGAGGTACACTAAGCACCCAGAAACTGATATTTCAGTTACTCACTAAGATCCACCTATTGCACCAAGCATTTATGAATGGGTGACCAATATAATATAAGACTTGTGACTGTGTTTTATTTTGGTTTTTTTTTCTAGTGTATTTACCATTGGCTTTTAAAATTTTGTACTGCTGTTCATTTACACATTCTATATAATACACATCATATTCTGCTATTACATTTGTGAGACTAGATTTAATTCCCTAGTTTTACTTTTTGAATACAAAACTTATTGATGAAGGGGTTACAGTAGTTGTTTTGGGGAACCAGTATAGGACCTACAGGAGGTCTAAATAGGCAAAGGCAGGTCTGGAAAATTGGAATGGAGGACACACTGTTCACTTTCCTTAGCATCTGTGACAAAATTTATAGTGAAAACTGGAAAAAAATGTACTTAGGCCGATACGTGTATAAAATTATTTTTTGCAGCATCAGAAAGACTAGTTTTTCAATCACAATATTTGTCCAACAAATCTTTATTTTTCAGACCATTTGCTAGCTATAATATAGAATTGAGGATGTGCTTTTCAAATTTCACCATAGAAAAGCATGGCAAATCATGTGACTACAGCAATCATTGATTTGAAGGAGGTGGATTGAAACCAGTTGCTGGAATCAGAAAACAAATAACATAAATCTAGGATGTTGACTCTCTTGATGGATGATGGATACAAAGAAGGGTTGTTTATAAGATCATAATACATGAAAGTTTGAATGACTACTGTTGTGAAAATAGTCCGTTAAAAAAAGTTATTCAAAAAACTGGGCAATATTTGATTTTAAGGCTATGCCTGCCAGATAAAGGACTTGAAGACAAAATAGGGGACATGTCCTCCTTTTGCTGAACAACTTATAACCTTATACAGGCATTCTGAGGACATTAAGGTAATGGCAGCTGTTGCAGTTCTTTCATCAAGCAATTTTCTTATCAGGGTTAGGTGATAACTCCCCATCAAATTAAGGTCCTTTTGGAAAGAAAAATGCTGTTGGCAGACAGTTCTGCCAGAAGTGTGCAAAATATTTTGAATTCTAAACCAGGCATTATAAGTTCAAAACATTCTGTTTTGAGTTCAGTGTTCCAAAGCTATTTTAAACTTGTTGGAAATGTTTTGAACTTAAAATAGCCTCACAAAATTGGAATACCTTGTCTTGAATTGAAATGATGATTTCTAGTTCAAAATGGATGTTTTGAGATTCCCCCCCTAAATACTAATAATAAAAATTAGTTTATTTTTTAAAAGGCTAAAGAGAAGAAAGGATAGTTAGTTCTCTTTTTGTCCTGTTTACTATCATTTTAAGATTCATTTTCAAAGTCAACTCCAATTGGACAAAGTTCCCAAATAGCATATTTTTCCTGTTATTAATTTGGCAGTTAAACTTTCTTGGATTCTATTTTTAATACTTGCTGCCACTTTTCTTTCCATTTTAGCTACTGAAGAATAATACAGTATTTGCATAGGTTGGAAACTCATGCTGTGGATATTGATGATTCAATAAAGCAGTCATCTTATTAACTGTATAAATTTATCCATATATTACCTAATTGCATTTCAAAATGCATTCAGATTTCTGAGATACATTCTCCACTGAGAATTAAATAAGCCATTAGCCAATGAATGAGCACATATGTTTATTTTTTTTTTATTTCAGACTGAATTTTTATAAGATAAGACCTATTACTCGGAGCCATCTGAATATAGAAGACATAACAAAAATATTTTGTTAGAGAATTGGGATTAGGAAAAGGATTATCTGCCTTGTTACTCCACTATATTCTCCCCCACCAAAAACATTTTCTTTTGACAAATTTTATTCCAGCTATATTATTTTCATATGCTAGCCATATTCTTTTATTTTGCTCACCTTTTCACCAATGAGTCTTGATGTGGCAAAAGCCAATTATGTTATCACAATAATTAATAATTTGTTCTTGTAGTTTTCTCCCATGCTTGCTGGGCTGCCTGCACACTCACTTCCAGAGAACCCCTAGATTTTGCTTTGCCTTTTGCCTTTGAAGTTCAGTAGCACAATAGTCAATATTTAATTAATATGATGGTTAGCAATTTTCATCAAAGTCCAAATACTAATGGATCATTGCATTACTGGATGGCTTTATGCATCACTTTTGACTCTTCAACCCTCCTCAAAAAGCCGAAGCCAAGCCAAACATTTGCGGCCTCTCCATTCTGTCTCCTCACTGTAACCTTGGACATACTGTACTGTATCCCCTGCTGAACTTAGAGAACATTTTTCTTTAAAATGTGTCCCACAAAGGTGAAAAAAGGGCTGCTGGCTCTGGCTTGTTTATTTTATTATTAAAGTCCCCAAACATCCACATATGTGTCTCATCTGTATTCTCTGCCAGACACTTTGATTTGTAAAAAGAGCAAACAGTTATCACAGTTATTATCAATAGCAAGGTTTCTATTTGTGAAAATATTTCCTATCCTCTTTTTTTTTTTTTTTAAAAAAAAAAATCTCTTCTATCTTTCAGAAAACCCTGAACGCGCTGCCCTCTGTTTTGTGTCTGGGATTTGCATTGGACTTCTCTTGACCTTATTGGCTTTAGTTGTCCAAATCTCCTGTCAAACTGATTGCAAACAGTCGTCAACCCAAAGGCCATCATGCAACAGTGAAGGTAGCTGGAGTGACAGTGACTCAGATACCACCTCAGACCTCTCTGTGCAACGGCAACGGCGATTTGAACGGACTTTGAACATGAATGTCTTTACTTCAGCTGAGGAGCTTGAGAGAGCACAACGGCTGGAGGAAAGGGAGCGCATCATCCGAGAGATATGGATGAATGGCCAGCCAGATATTCCAGGAACCAGGAGTCTGAATCGCTACTATTGATGGCAGCAAATAGGACTGAACTTATGGTGTCTCTTAAATCTGTTGGGAAGAGGACTGAAGTCCTACTCTAGAAAGGCAATATTTTTACTTTACCTTTTCGGTCTAAGAACAACCTTTTTCAATATTTTGTGCAGGTTGCAAAGTTGGGGGACGGGCGGATTTGTTTCTTCTCAGTGCTTTGGTTGCTACAAATTGGAAGAGCTAATGAGTGATACATAAAAATGCATGCAAATCTTCCCTCCTTTTCTCTTCCCAACTAATTATTCTAAAGATAAATAGGAAAGAGATGTATTTTTAGCTTCTCCTTCTTCTTTAGACTTCACTTTCAAATTTGGTCCTCAGGATGACCTCAGGAAACCACACTACTAAATTACCTGCTCTACTTGATGTTACTGTTTAAACTTTTTAAATTAAAAAATGAATGGGCAACTGGCATGCTGCAACCTCCCAGATTTCCCAGATAACTTATTTTCAACAAGGTCTGGGATCCCCCTATAGAAATCAAAGGGATTCTTTGAAGATAAAATGGTGGGTGATTGCAGTTGGTGCTTTGTTTGCTGTCTGCTTTGTGATTGGCCACATTCACCATGGCATGGTAGACATTTCCTGAGAGTGTCTATCTCTTTTAAATTTCCAATGTTTACCCATTGCGACAAAAAGGTTGAAAACCACTGTTCCACTAGATCACTCTCTTCCTGCCTCTATTTGTAGCAGGATTCAGAGTTCTGCTCCTCCTGTGCAGCTGATGCCTTCTGGGGAAAACAAGCAGGGCTCTGATCAAATGAAGGAGTGGGTATGTCCCTCTCAGCTATGCTCTATAAATCTTCCTCACCATGCAGATTTGCTGAAATTAAGCCATCCATCTTCTTAATTCTGACAATTACAGTCCTACCCTGGTTAACCACTATCTTCACCAACATTTTTTCTTGAATTGTTATCAGAAATAAAGGGATATACTGTACAAGATGAATGCTCACTTTATATTTGATGAAAGGCTCACTTTATATTTTAGAAAATGTAAGATTTACGGTTGGAATCTTTCTCCAGGCTTATGTCTAAAATATGAATTTTAACCTGCTTAATGTTTTAATAATAACAAACCTGCTAGAAATTATGACTGCCCTCACCAATCAGAAAAGTAGATCTGAAATAAAATATACAATTTCTGACTGTTATGTCCCGAGCCTTGCAAACGGCTCGGGCGTTTGCAGGCAGTCCCGGGCAGGTGCAAAGCTGCCCGGGACCAGACAGGCTGTCGCCAGCGCCGTGCGCATGCGCGGGTGCTGGCGCGGGAAAAGTAACCCATTTACCCGGGAGTTGCCTATATAAGAGGCTGTGAGGCGTTTGGGCTGAGCTGAAGCCATCTTCCTGTAAGCTGAACGCTGAATAAAAGAACCTGAGAACTCCAGCTGCTTCTCGTGTCTGTTTTCCCGCCAAGGACGCAACACTGGCGACGAGGTGGGATGCCTTGCACTACCTGGAAAGGAAAAAGTGTAAGCTTACCCAAGGAGTCCTGAGCGGCGGAAGAGGAACGGTGTTGACTCAGCAGCTGCCCGCCAATCCAGTGCGCATTCGGGGGTAGGCTGGCTGATAGACCCGTCTCCTGAAGATCCGAAGATGGCGAAAATCGGAAGGCTTGCGGAATTCGACGTCTCACATCCAGAGCGGTGGGAGTCCTACGTATCCAGAATGGAGAACTACTTCAAGGCAAACCAAGTGAGGGAAGATAGCTTGAAGGCTGCCACCCTGCTTTGCGCTTGCGGCCAAGACGCCTTCGAAATCGCAGAAAACCTTGCAGCACCTGTTCCAGTAGAGTCTGTAAGCTACGCAGACCTGAAGAAGCTGCTGAAGGACCACTTCCACCCCAAGGTGTCCGTTATCTCATGGCGCCACACCTTCGAGCAGAGGGATCAACGGTCCGGGGAGTCAGCCAAGGAGTACATCGCCGCGTTACGGAAGGCCGCCAAGCCCTGCGAGTTCAAGGACCTCGAGGAACGACTGAGGGACCGATTCGTGTGCGGGTTGAGGCATCGAGAGCTACAACAGAGACTTTTCGCTAAGGAAGAATTATCCTTCCAAGACGCTTTAAGGGAAGCCACCGCGGAAGAAGCAGCAGGCGGCGCCGTCAAGAACATGCGGCCGATCAGAAGCAGTGCAGAGGGTGCGTCCGTGCACCAAGAAGACGTCCGACGAAACTCCGAGGAGGATCCGGACGAAGAAGTCGACCGTCTACACCCCGCGAAGGGAGAAAATCAGAAGGAAAGCTCTTCAGCTCCGCTCAAGTGCATCGGCTGTGGAGGTCGCCACAGGAGAACCGACTGCAAGTTCCGCTCCGCTACCTGCCGGGCATGCGGCAAACAAGGGCACATTGCAGCTGTGTGTCTGGGCCGACGAAAGGCACAACCTCAAGAAGAACGCCTGAAGGGTACCAGAGTCCCCAGCCAGAATAGGGTAGGTTTTTGCGCTTCGCGTAGAAACATTTGTAGGACAGGCACACACAAGCCCATGAAGAAAAAGCTGTCACTCAACGTGAAGCTACAAGGGGTTCCATTATCTATGGAACTAGACACAGGGTCCGCCCTTTCCATCATTTCATTGCATACATTTAGGAAGATTTGTTCCAGTAGTGGGACTAAGGCCAAGTTAAGGCCTTCTGATATTGTATTAACTGATTTTCAGAACTCAAGAGTGTGTGTTAAGGGGGAGGCCACCCTTAACGTGCAATACAAGAGTTTTGAAGGTCCACTAGACTTGTTAGTAGTAGGGGGTGAAAGAACGAGTCTCATAGGACTCGATTGGTTTGAGGCCCTGGGGATACACGTCACAGGACTCAACAGCTTACAAACACTCGACCTACAGGAAGTCTGCAAGGAATTTGCAGATGTTTTCAGCCCCCAGCTGGGCACATTCAAAGGACCACCTGTGTCCTTAAAGCTAGACCCCACTGTCACTCCCATTAGGATTAAAGCAAGAAGGGTCCCTTTTGCTTTAAAAAGTAAGATTGACACTGAATTAGACAAACTAATCCAACAAGGAATCCTAGAACCTGTTGATTCCAGCCCATGGGAGACCCCCATTGTCACGCCTCTAAAGGCAAATGGGGACATTCGCATTTGTGCTGATTACAAATGCACACTCAATAAGGCATTGCAGCAACATGCCTATCCTGTTCCTGTGGTCAGTCACATCCTGGCCTCTCTCAAGGGGGGGCGTGTTTTTGCAAAGCTTGACCTAGCTCAAGCATATCAACAGCTGCCTGTTGATAATGATGCTGCCATAGCTCAGACTATTGTGACCCACAGGGGAGCCTTTAAGGTAAAAAGGCTGCAGTTTGGAGTGAATGTCGCTCCTGGGATTTTCCAAAGCGTAATGGAAAACACACTACGAGGTATACCAGGGGTCTGCCCCTACTTTGACGATGTCTTGATTGCAGGAGACTCCACACACATTCTAGCTGAAAGGCTTAGGGCTGTCCTGTTAAGATTCAGGAAATCAGGCCTTAAGCTCAGAAAAGACAAATGCAAGATTGGGGTGCCTTCTACTGAATTTCTGGGATTCAAAATTGATGCTGCTGGGATTCATCCTGCTGAATCCAAACTAACTGCTATTTTAGAAGCACCCAGGCCAAAGTCTAAGGCCGAACTTCAGGCCTTCCTAGGCCTCCTGAATTTCTACAATTCTTTTCTTCCACATAAAGCTAGTGTAGCTGAGCCTCTTCACAGGCTACTAGACAAACAAGCTGTGTGGCTGTGGTCACAAGCACATGAGGCTTGCTTTAAAGAAGTCAAGGCCTTGCTCACTTCTAACAGTGTTCTTGCACATTTCAACGAGTCTCTTCCTGTGTGCATCGCTTGTGATGCATCCCCCTACGGGGTTGGAGCTGTCCTGAGTCACCTCAGGTCTGATGGAACTCAGGTTCCTATTGCATACTACTCCAGAACATTGTCTTCTGCCGAGCGCAACTACGCTCAGATAGACAGGGAGGCTCTGGCTGTTGTTGCTGGAATTAAAAAATTCCACGATTTTCTATATGGCAGGCATTTCACGGTCTTCACTGACCATAAGCCTCTGCCAGTAGTAGAAGCTGACCCCGCGCCAGCTGTCAACATTCTATCAATCCAAGCCTTACCCGAGCTTCCTCTTAGTGCCAGGGATGTTACCGCTGAAACAGGTACAGATCACACACTTTCACGTGTCCGCTCCTGGGTCCTGTCCGGGTGGCCTGAGCACTGCCCTAGTCCTGAGTTTCAGAGTTTCTGGTCCAAAAGGAACGAATTGTCCCTTTCTCAGGGTTGTTTGCTTTGGGGAAACAGAGTTGTCATTCCCACCTCAATGAGGGCTAGGGTCTTAGAATCCCTCCACGAGGGTCATCCTGGCATTGTTCGTATGAAGGCTCTTGCACGCAGCCACTTGTGGTGGCCTGCTTTAGATAAAGATATTGAGGCTAAGGTACACGCATGCCACATGTGCCAACGATCTCGCCCAGAGATGCCCCAAGCTCCTGTGCATAAATGGGAGGAAACACAGTCCCCATGGTCTAGGGTGCACATTGACTACGCTGGGCCCTTTCAGGGCCAGTTCTTCTTGGTCCTTGTTGACAGCCATTCAAAATGGCTTGAGGTTGTGCCTGTCTCATCCACCACCACTGCAAAGACTATTCAGGTACTGAGGGGGATTTTTGCTGCACACGGGCTGCCAGATGTCATTGTGTCTGACAACGGCCCTCAATTCACCTCCTCCGAATTCCAAGCTTTCTTACAGGCAAACCTGATTCGTCATGCCACATCTGCGCCTTTTCACCCATCCACCAACGGTATGGCTGAACGCATGGTGCGCATCGCAAAGGACGCCTTGAAGAGACTCACCTACGGGGACTGGCATCACAGGTTGGCTGACTTTCTCCTTTCTTATCGCACCACACCGTCCACTTCTACAGGGAGAAGTCCAGCTGAACTTCGTTGGGGGCGCCAACTTACTACTAGACTTGACCGGTTGCATCCGGACAGACTGCCTTCATCTACCTCACATCCTAGGGCACCTAGACAACTACTTGTGGGTGCCCCGGTTTGGGCTCGCAATTACGGGCCTGGTCATACATGGGTCCCCGCTTCTGTGTCCAGGATCACAGGTCCTCTCTCCTACGAGGTTGCCCTGGACAACGGTCGTGTCCTGCGTCGGCACATCGACCAACTCCGCTCTAGGCGGGACTTTTCTGCTGAAACTCCTGGGTCTTTTCCAGGGGGGGAGGGGGACCCTTTGGAGCAAAGGGAAGGGCAAGAGCTACTGCCCATCGCCACTGAGGGAGCCACAAACGGCTCGTCCCAAGGTTCTGCAATTGCTCCGAAAAGGAAGTCTTGGAGCTTACCCACACAACAGGCACTCACGCCTACTCCAGCCAGGGAGTTACCCCGGGGGCATACTCACTTTCCACACACAGCACACAGCACTCCAGCAACGGAGGATACCCGGGGGCATCCCAACAAATCATTCCCCGCAAGAGAGCTGGCACACAATGCCCAAGGTTGGCCTGACCTTACCCCAAATCCTACAGGGGGTCAAACATACACAGAGCTAGTCGAGGAACCAAGTCCCGACTACAACACCCCTAGCACAAATCAGGGGACACCTGAGTTTTGGGAGAGTACAGAAACCCACACGAGCCCAAACACAGAATGGGGTTCAGGGAATAGACAGCCTCCTGACAGGTCTTGGACTGACCTAGGGGGTTCTACAGAGACGCCCAGCAGTGGCTATCACTTCAAGGGGCCTGAGGGTCTACAGCTAGGTAGGACAACCAGGTCACAAAGCAACAGAAGCCCTGGCCTGACGAGCCCGGTGGGCAAGCAAGCAGGCCAGGCATCGGGGCACAGTCCTTGGAAGACACCAGGGCACAGTAGAGAGAACAGGCTCATGCCTCCCTCCAGTCAGGGGACTTATGCCAGTAACCCAGAGCTAAGAAGG